TCACCATTTTCACATGTAAGTGACAGCCTATAAAACACATTGCTTTTATTGCTGTCCAAATTACAGCTCTATTCGGTCAGAGTGTTCACACTAGATAAGATAAGTTATTATTCATCCCACAGTGTTATCAGAATTATCAGATGCACCAATGCCAGGATCAGTGTGTGAGGAAGAAGCTACCTGGGCTTTTGGGTGATAAACCTTTGTTTTTACTCAGCAGGAACAAGGCTTGAGACAAAATGAACAATTTTACAATATCAAACTAAAATCTAAAACGATTAAGGAGCTGTACTTTCTGACGGACATTCGCATTTCAAAGCACCTATTTCTCTCGCATTTTGTCTGAAGCAGTCTAAATCGAAAAAGCAGATGATGTACTTCCCAAGAACAAAAGCAGGAAAGAAGTCACCATGTACCACAACGCCTATGTGCCCCTCTGTTTAAAACATTTTCCATTATTCATAACAGGGAATAGCAAAAAGGAAGCCTCATTATATACTCTTCAAGTGCTAAACTCATTAGCAACTGCAAAGGGAAAAAAAACCCCTGCACTATTACATCCCTGCTCCCTTAAAATTTCCCCTAACCTCTACTGATAATAGGCTTACTCCTCTTGGGCAAAGGGATGACTAACAGTAGCTAAAACTAGCACACATCAAATGAACTTTTTTCTTGAATATTTCGCAGAAGGCCCCGGCCTGTCTGCGAGTTGTTCATTAATAGGATTAAATGCTAAGGCTAATTGTTTAAACTCAACTGAACGTGGCAGGTATGAGACAGCGTAGGGTAAGTTTCACTAGACGGGTTGAGGATGTTGTTGTCATGGATTACTCAGTGCCATTTGATCTGCCTGTTGCACTAATCCCCCAGGCATGAAGGCAAAAAAACACAGCAGTAATGTTGGCGCGATGAAAACGTCTGGAAAAACATCTCTTTGTGCAGACATAGATGAGTTTTATTGACATTTTCGCCTCCGTCGTTGCCATTTACTGCCCGTGGTGATCCGTCTCAAATTATCCAGACATGACACCACTCCCTCTGACCCAGGAATCCAATTATAACAAGCAGCGATCTCTGTTTTGTTTTCTTCTACGCAGCCTCCCCTCCCCTCCCAGTTTCTGTCTCCTTCCACTGTATCTCATCATAAAGAGTTTATAGTGTTTTGATTTGATGCAGGGCTTGATGGGATACGGCCATGCTTGAGTGGCGCGGGGTGTGGGGGGGTCTGGGGAGCGGTAAGAACGGTTGATGGAGGAGTCCACGGGGAACTCATCAAGAGACTGTGCGCTTCGAGAAAAGAAAAAAAGGCACGAGTTTTCCCCAGTCCCAGCTCAGCACTAACGGGAGATTGAATTCATCAGCTCATTATCAAGTGCGGGATTAGTCACGTATTTGGAATCAGTTGAGCCGGTGGCATGGAACAAATGACCCTTCAGAAGTCAAGGCTTAGGGCATTTCTGCTCAGTCAATCCATAAAGAAGACGTATGCTATATGCCGGCTGGATAGTGAGCATCATGTGGCCCATAATTCAATATTTTAGGACGTAAGGACTATTTTGATCATGTGGTAGTGGACCATAATTCTTTTAATGAATAGATTATCTGTTTGATCCCAAAAGGTCAGTGAATAAGTGATTATTTAGAGGGATGCAACAATATCAATACTGGTACTGGCAAGAATACTTTTTTGAGGTTTCAGGGTGTACCTGTAACTAAATGTACGATACATACAAATATGTACGTTGTGAGACCCCTCTGGTTTACGAGATAAATATACAGCACACGAGACGATAAATTCTCTAACAAACCTTCACTTTACAAAGCAGGAATTACTTCTACAGAAGCAAAAGCGGTCAGCGGAGTGGCAATACTCAAGCAGCGAACAAGCACGAATCTAACATCCAACAATCCATATCTCTTTGTCGAGAAGGCCAAACACATGTAGGACGATTCAAAACAAGAAACTTGAGAGTCCGCAAGGCAGAGGCACACAGTCAAGTTTCTGCTACTAAAACTATTGGGGCTAAAGCTAACGGGATAAAGACAACAACAAACTCTGGCATCTGCGGTGCCCTGCATTTGCGGTGATCAAATCAAATTCACAGTATTGGATCAAACGCTCTCAGTGTAGAATGTAATGTAAGATGAAACCCTTTAGTTTGCACTCTTTTCATACTGATACTATGAGAAGTATTTTACACCAGAAATAGCAAACAAGAGCAAATAATAATATATGCACAAAAAGCTAACAAAACAGTAGTTGTATACAATAGTTAACAACTTATAAAAGGAAATTGAGTCAAAAACCTGCTGAAATAGTATGGAGATGAAGTATAAGGTTAAAAAAAACAATGAATCTATATGAACAGTGTCTGGCCTGACTTTTTACATGCTCCATGCACTGTTCTTAGACTTTGTGTGGAAAAAGGTCTGGAGGCAAGTCGTGGTCTCGAATGATATGCGACGTATTAAAAGGCAGCTGTAGGGAAAATGATTTACATACTTGTGCATATACAGTACATATTATTTCTTACTGGTTCATAACAATAGAGAATATGTTCTATTAGACCATAGACATTTTATTTACTTTGAGCATTACATTTCTGCAGTCCAATTAAGTGTATCATGTTTTCTGTGAAGTATTGCTTTTACTTTGCAGCCAAAACAACATTTCTATAGAATGTTCATATTTTTATTAGATTTTTTTGCTGTGCTGGACCTGTGCATGTGTATTTATGAAGTTATTGTTGTTAAAGGGATAACCTGAAAATTGACTTTTGGCAGTCTCATGTTTTCCTTTATCATTTACACAAAAACCTGTTTGAGTTTTGTAAATTCTCTTATATGCATGATAGCATTGCTGTCCTATTGTAGTTTACTTTCTATGGCAATTTTTCTTTATAGGAAAATCTGTGATATGTGGAGGATTTACCCGTCTCGCACAGCCATTTTTGCTTAAATGAAAAAAAAAGTGAAACACAACAGCACGGCACTATGCACTTCCTCAAAGGGTCAGGCTATGTGGCAAAACAGGACTTAAGGTGGGCCAACTTGACTCGTAACATTGTTTTCACTCAATACTTACATTTCATATGAATCAACCAAGGGGGTCAATACAATAGAGTACCTATTTTTGCATGGGTTATTTTGAATGCAGAACATGTATTATTATGGCTTGATTTTAAATTAGTACAGTACAGTAGCGCAGGATATGACTTCCAGACTTAAAACTTGCATTGGAACGTTTGCATCAAAAACAAGAAGAGGGAGGTAGTGGACATTTTTCCCCCAGCTGATTCCATTCTCAATTTCTGCTATATTTACAACAGAAAGAGGATATGAGGAGGCCTGGGCTAACATGCCAACGTAAACTCAGAAGAAAGGATTAGATCCTGTCACGACAAATGACTGAATTATTTTTCACACCTCACATGGAGCGATTACGTTCACATTGTGGTCAATCAAATTAAAGGTGCAATTTATTATTCCCTGTAGGGAAATTCAATCCTCTGCATTGGACCCATCCTGATGCCACGAAAGCTTACGTCAGGAACAGTGGTCGCCGTAGTGCAGCGCCCGGGAACCCATCTCCACATGTTAATGCTCGGCTTGGTCAGGACTACTGGAGCTGGAGGCTTTAATCTAGTGCGCATGTTTTTAGTGGTAGAGGAAACCGGAGTACCCGGAGGAAACCTACACAGGCACGGGGAGAACACGCAAACTCAACTCAGAAAGAGGCTGTTCCGACCGGGATTCGAACCCAGGACCTTCTTGCTGAGAGGCGAAAATGCTATCCACTAAGCCACCATGCCGCCCAGCAAATTAAATATGCCGTTTTAAATTGTGCTCTGTCAACATACTCCATGAATCAGATAAGTAGACTGCTGAACAATAATGGCATCAAGATAGGAGAATCAAATGACTCAAAATGTAATTGCTCTAAAAACAAAGGCGAGTCCAACGCAAAACCACTAAAACCAAAGCTGCGAAAAGCCTATTTTGCATATTATGTCTCTTTTAATAAATGTGTCTGATCCCTTTGTACACAGACCGACCACAGCTGCAGCTGTCGATCTCAGGGACTAAACAGCTGGAGTGTTCCCAGCAAGCCTTGACAAAAAACACCAGCTGAAGATGGACACATGCCTTCTGACGAGGCCATTATCTAAAAAATACTTGACAAATACGACTACAGGCACCTCACGACGCAGCGTGGACACAGTTCCCACACAGTTTGACCTTTCCGACAACCCAGACAGCAGCAGCGTTGTTCCAGTCATTGTCAGCTAAATGCAGATTGAGACGTAATGTGGGAATCTGTCCTGCTGGGGTTTGCAGGTGTACCCCCAAAAGCATGCCACAGGACGCCAAATGGAACCTCAAAAGGGTCCTATATACCTCACACCATCCCCCCTGCCCTCCTCCTCTCTCCCTCTCTCCATCACGTCAAGAAAAGCTGCTCTCTTCCCAACGAGAGAATGCTAGTGTGGCTGGAATCACCACGGCAACCCCCATGTCCCCCGTTTCCAATGCCTCCTCTCCCTTCACAATATCCCTCTCCACACTCGGCCTAGTGCGAGACTGAAAGGGAGGAATGGTGTGACGGAGAGAATGGAGTGGCGTGGAGGGGGTCTGTGTTTCGTAAATGAAGTGTTGGTCTGCGGAAGAAAAAAAGATATCGGGTTCCTTTCCTGCCACATATGGACTCACTCCCACAGTCGTGAGAGAGGCCGTGGCTGTTAGAAAATGACAACAGGTGGTCCAGTGTAGTCGCACAATTACTTCCTTTTCCTTCTCCTGTGTGAGAGCATAGAAGAACTTTTCAATCACCGCTGTTGTAATTTCTTCTGACGGAAAGAAGCAGGCCCAAGGCTACAGCCGAGAATTCAATGTATCCTTTCTTTGTACAGGATGAAATTTAAATGTTGTTCGATAGGTGACAGTTTCCTTGGCCATTTCAAGTTTTTTTTTCAAAGATGGTACAATGGTTATTCTCTTACTTTGTACATCAAGCCAGGCAAGGTTGGAAACGATCGGTTCGCTGCTTTCAGAGCGACCGGCTTGACAGTTGAAGGTGGCGTCATCTTCCAGCTGGGCATTCTCTATTTGTAGATGGTATTGTCCTGCAGCAGAAGACAGAAACCCATCAAGAGCAAATATTTGGTGCTAAAACATGATCTCTATTTTGACATTAAAACAGTTCAACAATTGAACTATGCAACAAAAATAACAGTTTGGTTAGATCACGAGTTTTCACTAGTTGTCTTTGTCACAAACATCAGATAATTCAACTAGAAAAAGGAAAAATAAATCCACGGTTACTCATCCGATCAGCTTTCTGCTCAAACTGTCAAATAGTGACTCACAGCGCTCTTGTTTCTAATAAAATGAAGACAGAATGTTGAAGTTTGGGGTCAGAAATGTTACTTTTATTCAACTTTTTTTGTTTAGACAGTTGGAAAATGTATAATTTATCTAAAAATAAAAATAAAAGTTATGTACCCCTAACCTCTGTAAAGTATATGGATATAGATTAAATATAGAATGAGATTATAATGAGCAACAATTCCATTTAGTGGGAAATGAGAAAAAAACATCTGGCTGTTATCTACTGGTATTTCCAACATGGCGCTATCCAACCAAAGGCTTTCAATTGTAGAGAATATAATTTGACACACATAGACACAAAGTTGCATATTACCAATTGAACACAGTGACAACAGTTTCATCAATAACGGTGAAACTTTGGAAAACCTAAATGACCTTAAGCAAAGTCTAAATATAAAACTAACATATTGCAAATGTATGAAGGACAGTATAAGGAAAAAGTGCTTGTGTTTTGCAAGAATGTGAATAAAACCAAAAAGTAATACTTGTCAAGACGTTATGAGGAGTTGGGAAACAATTAGTGTTAAACTTAATCCTACTCCTTTTCCAGCAGTGTGGAATGTTCTTTTTTTGGCCATCAATGTTCTGACGATCATAGTTTTGTCTACACTTTTTCATTGTTAAGGTTAAACTACACTAAACCAGTATCTAATTTTTTTCTTGACAAATGTACAAAACAATGAGAGTGAGGCAACAAAGACCTCTGAAATCTTTGCTACCCAACTTTGCAACATAAAAAATGGATCTATTGTAAAATGAATACAAAGTAGTAGTAGTGAACCCAATCACCTACTACTACTACTACTACTACTACTACTACTACTACTACTACTACTACTACCACCACTACCAAGTAACATGGTTAGATATCTCCGCACGAAAATGACACGGGAGCGGTGTTTATTGAATCTGTGGCAATTTCTCAACTTTAGTCTCAAACCTGACACAAAAGTCAATTTGCAGTAGCTTTATCCTCATGACTATTCAATTATACACGTTCATTTTCAGTCAGATGAAACGATTCCCCTCACTCCGCTCTCACAGCTGCGGGCTTTTCCACCTCCCGTCTGCCTTGTCTGTGCTGATATCATGACACTTCTATCGGAGTACATTTCCTGTATGACTAATAAATGTTAATCTAATTTCCAGTGATGGCTGTATAAAGCCTGTATTAAGTGATGCCAGGCAGAGTTGTCTATATTCCTCCGTTTGCACGTTCCAGCCGCTCTGCTTTATTTGAAGCCTTGCCATAACCTGTTAGCATTAGTCTGTGTTCTGTGTTGAGTGTTGCTGCTCTGATTTCCTGGCTCACACATGAATATGTAAAAAATAGTTTCTCAGTCTGACAAGCGTGCTGGCCTAAATAGTACGTGTCAAAATAAACTGGCGAGATTGTTAGCACTTCCAACTGCAATTTTCACAGAAAAAGTCATGCTGCGAGAGTTATTAATCGCATTCCCGCGTTTATTCCTGTTTCTGAAATGATTACTGTATCAGAGCTGGCTGCACATGACAAGTAGTGACCAGAAATACTACGGCAAGACAAACATGGAGTTACGTGTATCATGAGGCTTAAAGCTAGAGTACCGATTTATAACCAGAATCAATTTAGCTATGTAATGTAAAGCTATGTATAGTCCATGTCACCAGTTCCTCGTTCTTCAAACAGTTTCCTTCACGAGTTTTCATATGTATTTTTGACGTTGCATCTTTAGATCAGCTTTTTCAGACAGAAATGTGAACTTAGAGACAACCACCCTCACTCAACCGCTCAGCTTTCAAGATGTTTTTAATTAATTGCATTTTTGGTTCAATGTTTATGATGTAATCTATAATAAGGCTTTAAAGGATGTCATGGTAGCCCATAGTACCCTCTATGATGAAAAATAAAAACCAACATTGTTAAGACTTTTAAAGAAAATCCTGAAGAATATCTTACCAGTATATTCAAACTGTATACCAGTTATCGTTCCATCCTTAATGAAGAGAAATAATTGCTTGTGAGAAATGATACCATACTTGGCCGTACTCCGCAGTACTACAGATTCCCTGTGGTTTCTTTGTTGTAAAAAGGTAATTCTTGGGAATTGTAACGGCGCAAAGAAATGATTATCAATGTGAAACTTCCAGATGATCTTGTGTTGTTGTGTGAAAGGTTATGTGTGAGCAAATCCCATCAATTACGGGATAACCTAATGCCTAATTCCTCTTTATACAGCACAATAGTTTATATAGCACAACAGTTTCGGAAGTAGTGCATAGGAGTAGACGTTACATTAAAAAAAGGAATAAATGGCAGACAATGCAAATAAAAATCCCAATCTGATTTCACTCGTTTAAAACAATAAAATTCTATGTTCATTCAAATAAGACTGGATAAATAAACAAAACACATCCACACCTTTTAAGTATCTATGGAAGCAGGTCAGCTAGAAGAGGTGCGTGTGTGGATAGGTAAGTCTGAGCATCTCTGCTTAGACTGCTGTCCTAGCGACCTGGCAACGGATAAAGCCGAGGAAAATCGATGAATGGATGCTAGCAGGTAAGTAAGTTAGGAAGTAAGAAATCTTTATTTATATACCGCCTTTAACAGACCAGAGTCACAAAGCGGTTTACAAGTGTTATTTTTTTTTTTCTTCGGCCATTTGTCTCACTCCACACAGAGATGGGAGTGAGGTCGCCAGTACAGGAGGCGCATGCCAAACCTATTGTACAGTGGCTGAGTGGATAGCACTCTGGCTTCTCAGCAAGAAGGTCCTGGTTCAAATCCAGGTCGGAACAGTGCCTTCCTGAGTGGAGTTTGCATGTTCTCCCTGTGTCTCTGCATAGGTTTCCTCCGGGTATTGCGGTTTCCCCTACCACTAAAAACATGTACCTCCTGTACGTGCGACCCCGCTCCCATCTCTGTGTGGAGTGAGAGACAAATGCCCCCAAATGTGAACCGCTTTGTGACTCTGGTCTGTGAAAGGCGGTAAATAAATAAAGATTACTTACTAAGGTGCTGAGTAATAAGGGGCACAATACTGTGCTACAACTTAAGTTTCCGTTTTACCAGAGTGCAGCTGGAGGCTATCAACTTAGCCTTCTCTTTATTTTAGCCAGAGAGTAAGAGAAGCCAGTCTCTGGGATTCGTAGGGCTTAAAAGAACAGTACAACTGGAGATTGTCTGCATATAAGTGATAAGTGACATCACTGAACTGCTGGATCAGCTCGCCTAGAGGAAGTATGTATATCAAAAACAAAAGCCGAGCCTTGGGGTACACCCCATTGTAGGTCTGCAAATTCTGAGACCATGTTAATAAAGGACACATGGAAAGTTCTACCAATCAGGTAGAGACCAAAAAAAGATTTACCACAGGTAAGTTTCAGCTTCCAAACAGATTCAGCCTTGGAGACTTTTCATTTCATCTGTTGAAAATTACACAGAGATAACGTTTGCGTACCTATAGAATCATATCTGCATTTCATAAGGGAACTATCTTTTTATATTAAATACTTTATACGTTTGATAATGTCACCAATGTTGCTTTACATTCTAGCAATCTGTACACTTGAGAGAGGATGCGTATAAGAAGTAGTGTTACATGATTTCACAGAGAAACTCTGGATGCACAATTTCTGAATTTGAGGAGTTATGCAGTGGGACCTATAGTGACACCCACTGCGTACTGCCCAAGAGCTAGTTCCCACAGATAAGCGCGTTGCCCTCCTATCTATAAAGTGCTACATGTGGATAGGGCAGTGAGACATTTGAGCCAAAAACACATGCATGTGAAAACTAGCAGAACCAAGCTGTTCTTAGGACTTGGAACTAGTGACATGAATGTTGTGGTTTGAAAGTTGCATACCCCTGCTTTAAATATGAAGTCTTGGCCCTCATAACCCTGAACGTTTTTCTTTTATGCTTTGGACCACAGTATATAGCTCAAAATGAACCCCAATGAATATTATTTTACGGACTTCGAGTCTGATAAATAAAGATAATAATAATAATATTGGTCCTTTAAATGTATTGGTTGAGATTCAGCCACAATTCAAAAGAGAAGCATCTGGAGCTAGTGTAAACCAAGATGGAATCAGCGCTGGCCGACTTGAGTGTGTAAACGCACCATTTCATGCCTTTTTAAGCACCAGTAAACATCAGCGAGCGAGGCAGACAATCAGTGGAAGCTGGTTCAGACTGGAGTGCAGTCAAGTGTCATGTTAGATGAAGCTTTCCCAGTCTTCTGTGGAGTGATTGCTTCCACAATTGCACGACTGCACAAACCACTGGATGTGTTTATTTCTGATTGCGTGAATACTTACAGTAGAATGCTCTTTTTAGGTATGGATATCCAGGCAGTGAAGTAGAGAAGTTGCTATTCTTTCCAAGATCCATAAACAAGTTGTGGCACTCTGTGGAGTTCATGCACATTTTTAGCTGCTCATGCTGTATGTATTATCGCACTGACCAATCATCACACAACCTTCACCTCACCTCAACTTGGAACATTGTTGGAACTGGAATCTCATTTGGAAATCTCTACCACTTGGTTGAAATATGCTACACTTAAAATCTCCAACCAAGGTGACTGTTTTTTGTGTTTCACAGTAGATATGTAGATGTAAATTATACTTTATTTGCTATAACACAATAACTATGTATTAGGCACTCAACCCATCAAGCTCCATCTCAACCACTTGGTAGAGGCCTATAATTTATAAAACTAGGGGATCCGAAAAAAGGAAAAACCTTATTTTACCAGTTATTTTTGTTACTAGTGAAAATCCCTGAACATTTGTTTGCATTGGAGTGAACATTAAAGGATTAAATTAGCATATTCCCACTTTGTCATTGACCAGAGCAAGTGCCCAAATGTACATGGCTGAATGGTAAAAACTAAAAAAAACCTTTAGTTCCAAAACTTGAGACTTTGGCTCAAGCCCATAGACTGTAAATATTAACAGACGTAGTCACGCCTATCTCCGCCGTTCTGTGCCACAAATTCCGCGGTCTATGGGCAGTTTCAAAATGGCCACGGGGGCTGGAAAATGTGAAAAAACGCATCTGCGCATGAGCCCCATTCATTTGAACAAGTGCCTTCAAAAATTCACAGCGACTAAACTAGACAGGTCCTAAAAATTCACTCCCCTCAGCATTGACACACATGTGGAACGGAGCTTTGGGCCAAGAGCCAACTTTTGGACCATCCAAAGACGTTTTTGAGAGGTCAGAAGATGCTATATGTTAGCATTGGCTAATTCTTATTCCGGGTCCACCCCCATCGGCCCGGGGTGGTATTGCAAGCATGTCAGCGCACGTCATTTTGGCCACTTCTGAGCCCGGGACCCGCCCCAGGTTTCCAAGATGATTTACCGTTCAAATAAATGGCCTGGTCCCTTGTCCAGGGAAATGCTGGAGACGGGTTTAAGCTAGCAGCACCATATCCATATAAAGTAATACATCTGCAAAGTATAGCACCTTTGCTACCACCGAAGCACAAAAAACACCAACTCATTTGTATGAGTGGAATATGACACCGGCAACTTAACAACTGTTAAAACAAGTGCTAAAATGTTTAATTGTTGAAGTATTTTATTTTTGTTGAAATGATAAATAAAACATACAATCTGTTTCGCATCGGTTTTGAAAAAAGTGGTATCGGTGCATCCCTACTAAAGAGGATCGAACAAAAGACAAAGATGTTTTCCATAGAACACACAAACAAGGAGCGCTCACACTGCGCAGAACAACCAACAAACCTTGAAGGTAAAGAAGTTTCACTCTGGAGATTCAATCTAATTCATGGTTTTAATATATACAAATGAAGTAAACTATTTTATTTACTTAATTTATTTATGATCTCATTTACTGTGAATGAAATGTCAATGCATTTCAAATTCAATGCAAAAAAGCAAATTCAATCCAAGAACAAAACATTGTATTTCCATCCATCCATCCATTTTCTTCCCCTTAATCCATTTCTGGGTCGGGGGGGTGGCAGTCAGAGCTGCACCCAGGACGCATAGCACCAGCCCCTCACTGATCCTCCTGCAGGTGGTGAGTCCACAGGAGCTGAGATCTTTCAGTGGGAGCTTCAGGCAAAGTAGGGTTAAGTGTCTTGAACATTGTATTTGTTTTATGCAAATATAATTTATTTGGTGAAAAGAACATCTCAATCGTTATCGTCCTTGACACTGCTATCGCATATCACAGTTTTCCAATAGTGTGCAGCTCTAGACCAGACGCCATCGGCCCGCTCTGCCTTTGCTTCTAACTGGGGGTTTCTTATCGTTTTGAAGACAATCTGTGACACACATTATAACTGGCTCCATTTCACTGATTTGTTGAGACTTGCCCGCGTTAATTTCAGTTCTTCTAAGTGGATGTTGACAATAAATGCACTGCCTTAGTCCAGATGCTCTGCTCATGCATTATGTACCCGCTTCACTAGTGTCATTTTTGCATATTGGAACTCAAGTATCCTTCAGAATTGTTTTCATGTGGACCTCATGAGGGTTTTTCCTCGTCCAGTTGTAGCATTAATCTTTGTTTAATTTGTTACGTTGTGTGTGCATTTGTGCCAGGTAGGGTGGCATGCCAAAATAATAATGCATTTAATAATACTTTTCTTTGAGCCAGAACAGCAGAGTAGAACATTACTATAGACTGGTTGATGAGTGCCGACTATGAAACCAGAGGTAATCGCAGAAACAACAGATCTTGAACTGCTGTTGTATTCTTAATCAGGGTTCTCCAACATTTTTCAATTGGAGAGCTACTTTTTCACAACAGAAATGATGGAGAGCTACTCTTCTTTGCAATCAGAATAAAACTTTAGTCTATGGAAAAATCTATGGAAAAATCATGGACAACGCTCACCCAATAAAATAACATAACAACCACATTAGATAGATGGACACTTTATTGATCCCCTGTAGGAGAAATTCAGGAAAACAATGAAAACGTGTTTGTTCATCTAAATATGCAATGACTCAAAATGAAATCAGGATCATGTGTCAAATTCCTGAATCTTTTGGGGAGCTACCTTTAAGGGATTGGTGAGTTACTGATTAGCTTGAAGACCACTGTTCTTGATCATAGTAACACATTATCTTGAGCGTCATACCTTCGATCCCCAAAGATGGTCTAAATGTCTATTTTACCGTCTGTTTAGGTTTAATTGTCACCATGTACCCAAAATGACATGTTGGCATTTATATATATAAAGGCTTGCGCATGGTCTGCTCCTCGCAGGTTAACAGTTCTGTCCATAAATATTGGTATTTTGTTTGCTGCAGTAGTATATACTGTGTTTGTCACAGGCCGAGGCGAAATGGCAAGATTTACGTACCCTCTGCATTATTGCGTTTGATTTTTATCATGATTTGGTTTCATTTAATCAAATCACACTTTAAAGAGGAGATATTCCAAGTCGCTTCTATTGTTTAAATAGAATGTTAAATCATTGATACAAAAATCTGACACTGCAGAGTAGCAGGTCGACTTTAATAATGTAGTTTCTGTGTTTTAAGGTCTGCATCAGACAGCTCAAACAGACTGGAGCTGTGATGATTTTGTGTTGATTGGGGGCAGGCGTTGGGGGCAGAAGTTTGTACTTCTTTCTGCTCCTTTTCTTTCACATAATGTTGTTGCATTTTTTTTTCGATGAATGCAATCAATAATGATAATGGTGTTGGTGTATCCTGTCTTTCTATTCACTTTTTTTGGATGATCCCGGTCTCTCGACTTCATCAGTTATTGTGGCCATACCTACACGTGAAAGCAAGATCCTGTCAGCACTTTGACGCAAAGCAGGGCAGGGCCTGGTTAGTACTGTGATGGGAGACCTCTGGGAACACCAGGAGCCACAGTGGGCTGGCTGCGGCTGTAAAGTGCCGGACTATTGCTGTGTCCTTAGGCAAAGCACTTCACCGGTATTGCCTTGAATGAAAATGATTCTGGTGTGAGCATGAATTGTTGGTAGTGCTCGAAGGGGACAATGGCTCATACTGGTTTCCTCGATTCTGTCATTGTGCCCCATGGCAGCTGTGGCTACAGTTTATGAAAATGTGTATGGAATAATGAGTAATGACGTGTGACGAGTCTTTGAGTGTCCAAGAAAGCATGATTTAAAACCAATGCATCATTATTTTTATTATCCCCAAAATGTCATAGTGTGTATACTTGTTCTAATGTGTGCGTTATTGGCTCTCAGTGCAGAGAAAGGTATTTTTAGCTGCGATGGGGACTCTAGCCCAAATAGCCGGTGTCTCTCCCTCCTTGATGCTCGGCTCTTACCTCTCCTGGGGTTTACGATCATGGAGTAGCGTGGAAATCCAGGCAGGCTGCGCTCGGGTCCCAGGAGGAGGCCGTCCTTCACCCACTGCACAGTCCCCGAGGCCCGGAGCACCTCACACCGGAGCACAGCTGTGGCCCCCATCCGCACCGTGTGGTTCCTGGGCTGGGTCCTGAACACCTGCTGAGATTGAGCGCCTGGACACGAGGAAGAAAAGGACAGCGGTGAAGGACTGTGGGGCGGTCGTGTGACGAGAGACATTAAGGCGAAGTGTGACTGGGACAGTACGCTGGAAATATATCAAATAGTTTGGGTTCTGGAATACTATTTACATATTTTGGGCAGGTGCCTATACAACTTTAAGCAGAATAAGTGCTTTTTGAAAGATATTTTGAAAAAGACAATGTCCAAAATGTCACATTCATTATTTATAGTGATTAGTCCCACAAAGCTGCCAATATTTTTGACTTCTTCTGCATATTATTGTTTGTTTTAAGTTTTACTAAATTTTCAATACAGGCTTACTTACATACTATGCAGTATTCTTGTGTCTTTCTTAAGTAACTAATCTTGAATCCTTCACACTTATGTTTTTGAAAATTGTCACCACTTCCCCCGTAACAAGAAAATAATTAGACCAGGGGTTAAAGCAAAAAAAAAAGATTTGACTGAAAATGTTTGCATGGAAATTTATCACATGTAAATCACAGTAATATGCAAGACCAAGTTATATTTTTAATTACAATATATTATTGTATAATAGATTGCATATTGCAGCCATTCCCAAACTCAGTAACACCGAGGCCCCCTTAAAAATCTGACGGGTCTGTGTGGCCCCCCAAAATAATAACCAAGAAGACAACATTAAGAATAGGCTCTTCTGGTTATTTTATTTTGGGGAAATAGCCTCTGCTACAAACATTGTAATACAAAAATGATTACAGTGGATTATTCAAGTCAAATAATGAACACAAATATTTTAATATTACAAACAAAACATTATAAATTTAACATTAAATAATGATATTATTTTTTTATTTTTTTTATGACCTCCCGCGGCCCCCCTGCAGGACCCACTTTGGGAGACACTGGTATATTGAATACAGCTCAAATGAATTCTTCAAAGATATACAGTGTATTTTGATATGAAATATAAGTGGATCAAGCAACGCGTCAACTTTTTGACAGAATATTAGTGAGAGTAGCTTTACTTGAGGCGATATGGAGCGTCAACACTTTGGCTCTGTCCTCGTCAAAATATCGCAAAAGGACGATACAATTCTGTCCACATTTGTTTGTGGACACGTCAATATTTAAGAAAAAGGTTTCCCTATCAAGTTTGAGTGCACAGTGCACTTCGATCAACTGCAAATGATTTAAATAAATCTACCAGCGGTAGTGATATTCTGAACGTTATTTTCTGCGATAAAGCCACAGACACGGTCTGCCATAGCAAGCCTAGTGTTAGTTGTTGCTGATGCACCAGGTAAAGATGAAGTGTGGGAAAGTGCACAAACAGCTGCCTTGTGCGCAGTTTTGAGCTGGTGGCGAATCAAAACTTTTTTTCTCATTACTCCCATATATGCAATTTTTTATGGCAAAGTACGCACAAGCACCGGCAGGGCTGGACTGGCCATCGGGCGTACCGGGCAATGCCCGAAGGGCAGATGCCCATATTTGGGCCGGTCTGTTTGCCTCATACAAAAAAAATGTTTGTGAAAAGTGTAAATCCGTTGAGAACTGTTCGAGGGGGCGCGCGTGTCCGCGGGGCACCTGCTGTATGTACTTGAACGGGATTCTACCACCTCAGCGGCCGCAGTGTTCCCGCATCCAGCAGCTCTGAGCTGGACGCGGGAACCGCTCACCGGGAACCGCTCACAACACAACACGGTGAGCGCGTAGCCGCAACGTGACCATACCCAAGACCATAAACGCGCACAGGACCATGCATGTCTTTGCGTAATTTGTGCACCCAATAAATACACCGCTGCAGGAAACAGTCCGCGTCTCCCCTCTCCTCTCGAAGTGCGACTAAATTAAAGCTCGGGTACCTAAATTTTCCATTGCATTAAAAGTTAATGTTTGAGCCCAAAAGTAAAATGTTGTGAACAAATTAAACAGATTTAGAGCTAGCCAATGGCTGACATTATGCATTTCAGACTTTTTTGACCAATTCTCATCCCTGTAACAAACAACAGTGTTGTCTGCGTCCACCTCCCTCACTCTGAGACATGTTTATTACTCTCTTGTAATGTAGACTATTGCACTTTATTTTTTTGTTGAAACTGTAGACATCCTGATCCTCTACAGTATGCTTCCACATACTGTATAAACCAGGGGTCGGCAACCTTTAGTGCCCCTAAAGTGGCTCCTGGAGCCTTTTCAAAAATGTCTGAAAATGGAGTGTGAGGGCTATATTTTATTCCTAGTTTGAATGTGGTTTCTGTGGTAGGAAAAACATTCCTAACGTATTTCAATGCTGTAAAAATGTGTATAAGTAATATTCAATTTCAACATTTCTGTCAACGTAGTGCGTCATATCCTGTGGCGCGGCCCCGCGGCAGACGGCCGCTGCTGTAAACAAACCGGTGTGTGCGCACGGATCCCAAAGATAAAAAGAGAAAGAGTCGATAATAAGACTGGACTAAGAACAAGAATGAACATTTGCTTTTAGTCAATGAGGAAAGACTGCTTCATGTTTGTGATGTAATAGGAAGTTTTGTTGCAACACGAGGAACAATGAAGCACTAAATACCGTTCACAGGGATTACGTGAAGGATTCTTTCATACAAAATCCGGAGCACCTTTTTCAGATTTCAAAAACCTCCGCAAAGACTGTGAAAGAAAAGGCCATTAAGGACATTAAGCTCCAGCAAACTTCAGCCTGTGACGTGATCGATATGAGTGGACAGTGCAGGTGTGTGACCTTTGAGCCAAAAAGCAGATTTATTCACTGTATTTCTACAGTTGCATGAAGGGAAAAAAATGGAAGTCAAAGTTAAAGCAGAGTCATCACGTGGTGCGTCATTCTCTCCAAGACACGCTGCAGTGAAAACATACATTTGATAATCATGAATGCTTATTATGTATTTGTAGCCTTTACTTGGTCATTTAGATAATAGGCTAATGTAGCTAATGTAGCTAATGTAGGTACATTGTGTAACCTTCATATAAGCTTTATACAAGGCTGTTATTTTTTTGCCGCTCCAGACAGATGTTTTTAGTTTTTTTGTCAAATATGGCTCTTTGAACCTTTTGAGTTGCCGATCCCTGGTATAAACAAACTGTAAAAAAGTGACAAAAACATGCTTGGGCCGGTAAGAAGGAAAAAATGCCCGGGCCGTTTTTTTGTCCCAGTCCAGCCCTGAGCACCGGCCACTTTCATCTTTTCGCACCATGACTCGTTGATTGGCTCTTTTACATCACGCTGAGTTTTGCAAGAAGATCGCAAACAAGACAATATCAAAAGCTCACCAAGACATGTTTGTCCCCATTCCCAGTCGCAGCAAAGTCCGTTTTGTACATTCCGTTAAGTAAATAGCATTGCGTTTGGTAAACGTTAATTACCTTTCCTCTATTACGCGCCCAGCTTACCAGTCCGCGGATCTGCTGCTGTTATTGCTCCGTTCGAGATTCAATTTTCCTCCTCTTCTCCTTTTCAAAAGCTCCGTGCAGTTTCCAGAAACTTTCACCTCCGTGTTACCAATGCTAACTTCATCGCGTCTTCATTTGCGCGTGAGCTCAGCTACGTCCCATTGCCTTGATTCATTTGCGGAGCGCTCATGTGGCCACGGCACGTTCAAGGCCCACTCGTGATTATTAGGCCCGAGCCCCGAACGGGGTAAGGGCCTATTGCTTTCACAATGGTGAAAACAAATGGTGGCGGTGCGTGACGGACGCGTCAGCGCCCGTCACTCACCAAAACGTGACGGTTGCGTGCGTAAACTCAAAAGCTTTAAAATGATGTATCACGTGCCATTGAAACCTATATTGTTTTTGCTCGAGACAAGTCACAAAAAATTCCTTTTTTATTTATTAGGCCCGAGCCCCGAACGGGGTAAGGGCCTATTGCTTTCACAATGGTGAAAACAAATGGTGGCGGTGCGTGACGGACGCGTCAGCGCCCGTCACTCACCAAAATGTGACAGTTGCGTGCGTAAACTCAAAAGCTTTAAAATGATGTATCACATGCCATTGAAACCTATATTGTTTTTGCTCGAGACGTTAAAAAAAAAATTCCTTTTTTATTTATTTCTTTCTTTCTTTTTTCTTCTGCACTTTGAGCCTTAATTTGACCCCCTGAACATGCATGAAAAAGTTGTTAATTTTGGCCCAAAAATCAGACCTGGCGAAAAATTTGATATTTTGGTGTTTATTTTTATGGGACTCAAAAAATGCCAGAACAGCGCCACCTACAACAGCCAAAATAATACCCCTATGGGACTTTTTGGAGGTCAAGTTTGTCGTAGAAACATGAGATTTGGTACACATGTTCCTTGAGTCAAGACATGAAAAAAATATTATTATGGCTCCGCCCTCTGACAAACAGGAAGCCCATAAATTTCACTGCAAAATGGAAAAATGAACAGCAAAAGTTTTCATACATGTCGGTTGGAAAGCGACTCCTCCTCGGCCGTTTCACCGATTCGCCTCAAAATCGCTCCACATCATCTCAACACATGTACCTTCAAAATGACCTCAGGGATTTTTGATCAGTGAAACATTGTTTGAGCAGCGGAGCGGCAAAATGTGACCTTTTTTTGGCCGTTTTTGACAACATTAAATTTGCTCCCGTTTGCACAAACAAAGTCTGATTTGCACAAAACTTTAATACATTGTTCAACTTTAGGGTCTAGGTCATTTGAAAGTTAAATGATTCACATTGACACATTAGCGCCCCCTACAGACTATTTCAAAGTTTTAGATGGGCATTTTCAAATTTAGTTTTTTCAAAATGTTTGAAATTTTGCACATAAATCTGTTTTGCACTCTTGATTCAAAAAGTCAATAGGGTCCAAGGCTTATTTTTTACCCTGTTGCCGTGGCGACGACAAACGCTCCAGATTCATTGCAAATGTACACCTCACACAAACATCAAACTAGCCTCGGCCGTTTCACCTATTCGCCTCAAAATCGCTCCACATCATCTCAACACATGTACCGTCAAAATGACCTCAGGGATTTATGATCAGTGAAA